TTTTAGATTTTTTATATTTAAAATGAGATGTTTATCCTGTATTTGATTGTGTTTATCTGCAGTTAGTTACACGAATTCAGTTATGGGATGAAATCGGATAGGGATGAAATTGTTTAGAGATGAACGGGTTTAAGAGTTTTAAGAGTTTAAGAGTTTTTAAGAGTTTTAGCCAAATGCTTTATAATATAGTATAAATATATATATATATATATATGGGGTATGGGAGATTGATTACCAATTGTGTAATTTGACAATGTTGAATTTTTCTAAAACGGTTTTGCCTTCTTTATAATTATATTTTTGGGATTCATCGTATGCTTTCTCATACTTCCATCCTAATACCTCCCCACAATCTGAGCAATGAACATCTGCCACGTTATGTAATCCGGTCATCAAGTGTCGGTCTTGTTTGATACTTGACACCACGTTCATGACATGGGAGAACAAAAAGGCTCTCCCATGGCTAGCCTATAATATATACAATCAATTAAATATTTGGTGTCATGGTGTGTGTATGTATATATATATATATATATATATATATATATATACCTGAAAAGCCTTAGAGATGATATCATCATGCATGGAGAGCAACATGGTTTCGACAAATGTAGCAGGCATACAACCTGGGAGAGATGATGACTACTTGCTCATCTGCCATTTCATCGAATCAACAATATTTGGGAGATGTTTGTTGAGTAAAAAGAAGAAATGAAGGAATATATAACAGATAAAGAATGAGTCAATCAAATGAAAGAAAAATATAAATATAAATATAAATATAAATATAAATGGTAGTGTGGTTAGTTGTTGATGATGATAGGAATAAGATAAGATTCTTAATTAATTTATTCAAACTTCTTTTAGTCAAAAAATTAGTTAATTATATATAGCCATAGCCCATAGGGCATGATGCATGTAAACCATATATATACTCCATTTAAAATCAATAACTAATATTAATTATAACATACATATGGAATGGAGGTACCTAATTAAACTGAATTTTAATTTATGATCGATGATGCATGTTACTTTTTTGAAGTCACCAACATCATCACCTATATATATAATGCATTAACTTCCATAAACTTAACAAACACGCAACTATATCATTCAGCTTGTTTTCTTTTGTTCTGCATGCACTGTATCATCATCATCATCATCATCATATATATATATATATATATATATATATATGTGTGTGTGTGTGTGTGTGTATACCTACAAACAAAAACACCCCGCTACTCAATCGGTTTGTCTTAAATTAATACTCCAATTCATCATTACAACAAATTAATCAGTGGTAAAAGTAAAACACAATCAGCTGCAGAAAGATGAAGATTGATTAGAAAGAAAAACAAGATTTCTTGACCAGAAGAGATTACATTTTTGTTCGTAAAATTAATCATCATTTCTCCCACAGTCTCTCTCTATATACGGATTTATTGATATATCATCTCTTTGTATTCTTATTCCCTTCGTCACTTTTATAAAAAGATGACACTGTTTATCAGGGGATGAGAAAGAAAAAAAATGCGGTGAACGTGGATCGAACACGTGACCTTCAGATCTTCAGTCTGACGCTCTCCCAACTGAGCTATCCCCGCTTCTGCGTTTTCCTCTTGCAACAATTCATATGATGTTTGTTTAATCCTGGATTAGCTTGAATGTGTAATTAAATTAGGGCCAGGGCCAGGGTCAGGGTCATCGCCATCGCCATCGCCATCGCCATCGCCATCATATCATATGCTATGCCTACCTAATACTAATACTAATACTAATACTAATACTAATTCATCATCGGTTGCTTAATTTTATCAGACATTCATTAATCACATATATAATTGTTTTTGTGGGTTTTCATCTCTCTGCAGAATTCAATTTGAAATGGGGTTTCTTTCAAACAAACTCCAAAGGACTCAGATCAAACCAGGCCATCACATCTACACTTACAGAGCTGTCTTTGCTTACTCTCACCATGGTATATTCTATCACTTTTCTTCTTCTTGTGTTCCATTTCATCTCTCCTAATTCCATTCCATGAGTTTTAATCTGAAATAGAATTTTGGATCAAGCTGTATCATTTCTCACCATATTTTTTACCAATCTGCTCAGTATTTCTTTGGTTTCATTTTGCTTGCATAATTGTGTTTTCTTCTTATAGATGCAAAGATTATGCCTCAAAACTATAATCTACCTCTTTTGTAATATCAAGTTAAACTAAAAGAATTCGCAGACTATAGAAAGGACTAATTTGCAGGTGTTTAGGATTCGAGATACCATAACAATGTAGAATCAATCAATGAGAAGAATGATAATTATGCTAGATCCGAAAACCCAAAATAATGTCTAAATGATAAATCTTGAATAATAATAATGATAATGCAGGCATCTTTGTTGGAGGTAACAAAGTGGTCCATTTTACTCGTGATCCTCACACAAGCTCAAGCAGCAACACCTCTCTTGATGTAATGTCTGAAACACCCACATCCTGTAGCACATATCCAGACTGTGGCTTTCGACAACCCAAAAGTGGCGTTGTTCTTTCCTGCCTGGATTGCTTCCTTCGAGATGGGGACCTCTATAGTTTCGAATATGGCGTGACCCCAACTGTATTCTTGGGCAGAGTACGAGGTGGCACTTGCACCACAGCCGTATCAGATGGGGTGGATACAGTCATCCACAGAGCCATGCGTTTGCTTCAAAATGGGTTTGGGAAGTATGATGTGTTTCAGAACAACTGTGAGGACTTTGCTTTGTATTGCAAGACAGGGCTTTTAATCATGGATAAGGTTGGGTGTGGAAGAAGTGGACAAGCTGCTTCTGTATTGGGTGCTCCGTTGGCAGCTCTTCTATCGTCCTCTCTGAAACTGTTGATACCAAGTTCGGCAGGCGTTGCAACCGTGACAGCAGGAATGTATTGTATGAGCAGATATGCAAGTGATATTGGAGTCAGAAGGGACGTTGTTAAGGTAGGTGTGGAGGATCTTGGTGTGAAATTGCGTTGGATGGATGATCTAAAAGAAGATGAATCCATATGATTTATTGGAGTAGTAGGTTCAACGTTTTATGATTGTCTTTGTAAATTACCTTATTGGAGTATTTGTGTTTTGGTTGGTTTGAAACAAATTCATTATGTTATTGGAAATTCTGATTCATATTAGTGGTGTTTTATTCGAACCAAACCAAACCAATTGGTATCCAAATTAACATCGGAATTAACATTTTTGTTTGTTTGTTTGTTTGTTGGGTGCAGTAATGTAAATACAACGTTCCATTACTTGAAAGGATACTAGATTTCTAACATGACATGTAAAGACACTTTTGGGATTTGAAGAAAGAAAACAAGGATATTTTGCCAAATGTATTCCAGGAACATAGGTTAAAATTAGGATAGTTGTTGAGGACAGGTTGCACTTGAAACATCTGCTGGTCTTACTAATTAAGCTGGTTCTCGAAGTTCAAAAACAGACAATTGTTAACATTCATGGATATGAAAAAGATATATATATATATATATATATAATCAATCTGGGGTTGATTATGCTTTGCTCTTAATTTACCATTGTCTAATTGAATTGATTGTGTGTTTTTATGTTCCATTCAAACGCTGCAATTAGACTTGAATAAATCCAAAACATGACCCCACTTCAAACAAAGTCTAGACCTACCTTGAGGTTGGATATGTCCTTAATAATCCAACCAAATCAAAAAGAAGAAAACCATATGGACCTGTGAATAAGTGGTTGAACACTGGAACTTCCATTTAATTTACATGGTGATTACAATTTTATTCCAACAAATGTGCAAGGAAGGATACATACATACATATATATATATATATATAGAGAGAGAGAGAGAGAGAGAGGGAGGTTCAGGGAAAAACTTCAAAAAAAATGAAAAACTGAGGTACACCCTGATAACCATTCATTTGGACAGGTATGCACATGTGCATACAAGTAACTAAAATTGTTTTTTGGTTTTATGCACGTGTGAATGTTATGCACACATGCATATTGAACAAATTTCTTTCAAATTACTAGTATGCACATGTACGTACCGTTCAGATGAACGGTGTTACTCAGTTATATATAGATACAAATGATCGTGTAAGAATAGGAGTTAAAGTGAGAAGCATAAGAAGGAATCTAGATTCTTGATCACTTTAATCTCAAACCCACCCAGGCATATCACTTGATACGAGATTGATCTGGTACATTTTATTCTAACTTGCACCTCAGAGTGGGGATCCCTTTTTATGCTTCTCATCTTAAAAGGAACCCAACCCTATATATATAATATATATATCCCTATATATATATATCTATATATATATATATATATATATATTTTATGCATGTTTATTTTCAGTCAATCTCACAAGCGTTGTGTAGTTTGGTGGTTCCTACGGTCATTTACTATTTTTTAAATATTTGTAAAAAAAATTGTGACATACAATACAGGGAGAATGAGTTAAAGGTAAGGCACCTTACCCAGTTGATTGCAATGCACATTAAAAATAAATAAAACTAAGCAATCGAAGTGAGTGATTCAATCGAAAAGTTGTTAAAGAAACGTGAAACAAGGAAAACGGTCCTAGAAAACAAGCAACAAAACTTGGCATCCTGTCCCATTCCCTTCTACTCATCTAAGAAACCCTGTTTCTCTTGCAGCTGCCCCTTATATATAACTTCATAACATCAACAAAAAACAAGATAGAAAGTTAAAAACGTTCCATTCAAAAAGAAATCAGCCATGGCCACTGCCTTCAAGATCCAAAACCTACAAAAGGTTATCAAGGAGAAGCGAACAAGGCTTTTTGCGTTTCGCTACTGCCTCTATTTGCTGCTTTGCAAGAGGGACCATGATCAATAACTATGCTACTATTACCCCACTTCATACACGTCCATGTCTTGAGTCTTAAATACCTACCTTAATTACTTTATGATCTCCACAGGTTTCTCCTTATCACAAGTTTTCACAAATCATTCAACTTCATCAGGATATCCAAATCTATAAATCTGACACCAGAACAATCCTGTTAATCTCTTTCTATTAGGAGATATATCATATCCTTAACTAAGCATATATGTCGAGAGTTAGTTTCCCTTGTATTTTGGTTTCCTAATGTTAACCTATTTGTAAATGTATATATCTTTGGTTAATGAATAAGAAACACAAGCTTTACCATAATCTTGGCACTTACGTCTTCACCATCCATACAACCTCTCCTCCCCCTCCTGTAGTCCTAGTTCAGTGGTTCCGATTCCTTTCCCTTCTATGGTTTACAGTCACTAGTCTCATAGTAAAACAAAAACAAATGTACTGCATCAAAAATATCATGTTCACATATATACTACACTTGATGATCAAATCCGCTCTTTTCCTGGAGCTATATTGAGCAGTTTTCGATGGATTCTTCTTTTATAGCAATCTTACATTAGCGAATGTGTAAGCATTGAAGAAGCTCAGAAACTTCAAATGAATGGATATAAGATGAAACTGCATGACATACTTGATTGTCATAGGAAATGGCTGGTGTAGACTGTAGTGGTTACATGAAATGACACAGAAAATAGGACCAGGCATTTAGCAAACAGGAGTTAGCCCAAAATGATGACCATACACCAGCATATATGTGTAGATTTTGCATGATCATGGTATGCTTTTAAAAAATCTAGTTTCAAGTTTCTCAGTTAACATCCTTCGTCTCAATCTATGTACCATTTGGTTCAGCCTTTCACCTGGAACAGGACCAAGAGGCAGAGCGTGTAAGCCTTGGCTTTTCTATCTTCTTATCCTCTTCTAAAGAAATCATGGCAAGGTTAGATGGATTCTCTATCATCAACTTCGCAACCAGGTACCCAGAGATGGACCATGTCTGATATTTCCTTGCTTGCTTTCCTATATAACGCCCCTTCTTACCATCATAATACTCAGGCCATCCATCTTTTGAAAGTCGCTGCTCCACCAACTCAATGGCTCTCTTAGCAATTTGAGGCCTTCCTGCCTTGATGCATGCTGCTGTCAGCAGCCACAGAAGAACTACAAAACCCAAAATCACCAAGTATGTGAACATATAACGGTTAATATATCATGTTATACAAGTAACTGCTGGAAATGTTGTCAATTTTTTTTTCTAACTGTTGTAACATGGATCAAACAACATTGAGTCGGGGAATTAACCAGCATAGACATTTAAATTGGTCATTAACTTGTTATTTATTTCAATTCAAAGTTACTAAAGTATGACAAAAGCTTTCCATAAGAGTTGCAACTCATGCATCTTATTGCTGCTGCCAAATTTATAGTAGGTACCTGGTGTTCAAAGTTTCTTCGTATTTTTTTTGGTCAAGCAAGGTTGATTTCTTTGTATTCGTGGTATGTAAGACATACTTCCTCCTATAAGTGAGAATGCAAAGGATCTTTTTGCAATTCCTATCAATATGATTTTCTATTTTGCCAAAAAAGTAATGATACGAAATTTAAAAAATAATGAATCTGAAGCAAGTTGTGGAGTGAACATATCCAAGTTAAGTTATAACCAACTTAGGACTCACCTGGCCAAGATCCGCCATTGTGATAACTCCAACGTATGTTCTTTGGATCACATCCTGTGACAATCCTCCACTGATATCCCTCCAAAGCTGGGTAAGCAATTTTCAGCGGCATCTCACCAATCAGGTCTTCCCAGCGCTCCTCAACCAAGTCCATAATAGCTGTAGCTTGTGCCAGTGTGGCTAAAGAGCTCAAGATAGCAATACAGTTGCCAATTAAGAACCACCTGAAGTCCATGCGAGCTGGGCTCACATTTCCGATGAAGTATCCTCCCCTCAACGGCATGAAATCAAACACCCAATCTGGGATCGACTCTGGAATGACATTGAACTTGTTAACAGCTGTGTGGGAGTACTCCTCTGTTTTGTAACGGTAAATGTTGTTCAGTTGGGTAAAATCCAGCCAATAGTAATTTCGGATGTGGTAACTTAGAGCTGTAATTCTTCTTTCAATCCGCTCAATTAGTCTGTTGGAGTCACTATCCTGTTTGAGCATTTGTTGTGCACACCTCAGCGCAAAGAAGAAGAGAGCCTGAATCTCAATCGGATATCCATATATTCCCTGCCACAAATGCAAGTTAGAGCTGACTATAAAGTAGCATGCATAAACAGAATTTTGAAGTACTCTAAAAGACCACTATGATGCTCTCTAATAGTATCCTTCAACTACTACATAGTTGTTGGACATAACTGTTGGAGAGCCACCATATGTACAACCAACAAGAAAAATGAAATTGAAACCTACCATCCTCCTGTCAATCATGCTACATCCATCTGCACACAAGAGTGTTGGGAAAGTGTCAAAGCCGTCAGATAGACAAAGATTGAGTATCAACTTCATTCCTTTCTGCACCTCAGGTCTTTCTGACAAGGTATAATCCCCTGTACACTTGGTGTATGACCTTAATAGTATAATCCACCAAAAACCTGAATCAACTGGTGCAACTCTTCCGATTGCACTGCCACCAAAGTCAGCCTTCAATACATCCTTTTCCTGGTATGAGTCATACATGACCTTGAAACTAGCAGGCATGACACCTTCTCCAAGAGTGAAATTGTCAATTGTCTTTTTCCATCCTTGGAGATGGAGTGTCTTAAGCAAGAAGTTTTTCACAATCTCCGGCTCCGGATCTGGAACTCTCATTAGGCAGGCCAGGGCAGTTGGCACGAAGTCTCTCACAAACACCTGCACTAGACATGCACAATTCAAGGTCGAAGACGAAACAAGTAGCCTGTACGGTGAACATTTGTATATCACATGAACTGATGTATGAATGTTCACTAATATGTATTCCACCAGTTGTGCTAGATACTAAAGTGGAGTGGGCACATGCACATAGCAATAACTGTTCATGCATTTTAAAAGTGATAAATGATCAAGTAATACTAAAACTTTATGTAAATATTTCTCTGGTTTGCTCTACTTAATGTCCTTAACAAGCTACTGGAATTTTCCAAGTGTTCTGGTAGCTCTACTAGAACTGGTAAAAGATCTGAGTACTTGTTTTACAAGCTAGTGCATGTTACTCTCCTGGCAGGCCAAATAAGTAAATTATCAGCTTAACAAATTTCAATAGACTGTAGCTAGCATTGCAAACCTATATTAGCTAAACAAAATGTTGGAACTGCCTTATATATTTTTTAATCTTTTTGGTGCCGTATTATTGACACAGCGTATGAATAACTTTATTCATAGCATTTCCGATTATAGTAAAACAAAGAAGGTATTATCAGTTGAATCTATTCGAGCAGATTTGGATATACACGCACACGTCAGCACAATAAATAGGTCTTGCATATATGCACGAAGCAAAAGGAATTACACAATTAGACGAGCAAACAGATCACGTAAACACAATCCAGGCAGAGAAAACATAAACGCAAGCAAAGACATCCTGCATAAGCATGACAATGCACGAGTAAACAAATCATACATGCACGAGAGTAGAATCCTGCTCTGGCTGTAATGACACATGTGGAATGAAAATACCAACGTGTAGATCCAAATATGGAAACATGACAAGAAAGTATCATCATAATTAGGCTCTATAAAATATGCATATAATAAGCAGATGCGTATGTAGATACAGGCACGTTTCAAGTGCTTGGATATCAAATAATTCTCAATAAAAATTTACGTATTGCCTGATTGTAATTCAAAGCCTCTGCACTAGGATCGAGTGCGGCCAGCGTTCCAACTGGTTTTTTCTGAAAATAAACAAACGAGCTTCTCAGTCGTTCCCATGCTTCGTCCATCATGGATGAACTACTGCTCTCGGTTCCATTTGATTTTGCACTAGTTGCCTCAGTGACAAGGTTGAGAAGACTGGTACCGACGCTAGGCGACGGCTTCAAAATAGTTTTATTGTCAAGAGAACCACGTCCTGACTTATCCTTGTCGGAAGACTCCCCGTCCCGTCCTCCACCAACACCATCTGTCCCCATGGGAGACGCAGATGCGGATTGCTTGGATGAATCATGATCAGTCGTCGGAATGACAACTTCTCCTTCAGGTCCAGTTAGATTAGGAGATTTCAATGTAGTAGATCTCTTCAAACCTTGCCTATGATCATCACGAGTCATCGGAAAGCGAACGCGGCTATTCTCTATATTTCGCCAAATCTCATCAGTAGTATCGTCCTGCTGCACCGATGCATTGGATTTCTCTGCCGCTGACGTTTCGATCATGATCTGATCATCATCCATATGAAATTGCAGTTCGTCTGTCGAAGTGGAAGGAATGTTGTTCTCTGAGTCGCTCAAACTGGAAGACATTTCTGAATCGCAGAGCAAGAGGGGATCTAGAGGGAGAGAGAAGTAATGAGGAAGGGGTGTGTGTTTTGGCGGTTAAAAGATGTGTGGAGTCTGAAACATGAGGGAATTACATAAATGCCATTCGGTTTTTGATTCAAAAAGCCAGGAGGGGAGGAGTGTGTGGCATGGATAGTAAATGTAATTCCTACTTAAAACCCACCGATTATATGTATGTATGTTTTAATTTCTAATCCAAGAAACGCTACATTCAAATAGTATACCTCTTCACCCAAAATAACTTCGTAACTTGTTCAATACCCACCCATTAATAACATATATAATCCATGATATGGAACTCATAATCAACACCCCATTTTCATGTCTTCATCACTGATGGATTTTTTTTTTTTTTTTTACAAACCTCATCACAACAATTCAAATAAAATTTCAAATGAAAACTACATCATCAATTGTAATCCAATAATGTTTATGGATTGAACTAATGACATTAAATATGTAGATAGAATAAGTGGAAAATAGACAAGCTACCTTCTTGGAAAATTATTCGAGCCTAACTCACTGGAATTTATGTTACATTATGTTCCCATTTCAAGATATTCGTAGCCATAATCTTAATCAGGAGGTTCTCAAATGAGTCCTACAAACATCTATCAGTATATACATTATGATAATCAAATTACAAACCCTATCGAGGGAGCAAGCCCGTGAAATACAATGATCAGCTTACACAAACAGAAAAATATGAATGACGAGAAAAAAAGAAGATTGGAATCTTAATTTAACACATTCTCAAAATCACAACCAAAAAAACACCTACACTATGAGTTACTTTCTCTAGCAGATGAAAGCCAAGAATGAACGGAGCTCCTCTCATTCCCTTCACAATCACATGATAAGGGTACACTACTGAGTTAAATATAGAGAACAAAGGTATAATTGAAGTACCAAAGCAAATAAATTGAGTTTCGCTCATCATTTGTCAAGTCTAAAATGTTGGTTATGCTTAATACCTTGCTTAAATTTGTTTGCACTTTTGTAATATGTTAGGCCATTATCCAAATCTTTGACATCTGCACGAGGATGAATTTGAAGAGTTGATACAAAGAAGAAATACATCTATAATTTTGAATAACTTATAAACCCCTAACTCCATATGCAATTAAATTAACAAAAAACAAACATCCATTTACCAAATGCTAAGACGACGAGCAAATGTCGATTCTAAGGATGGAGGATCAACCATGATGAAATTATAGAACCCCCTTTCATCTTTTGCTCGGATTAAACGGATTCCATCCATCGTATCATGGAAGTCGATTGGATTACAGATTCCAATCGATAGAGAGAATCCATAAGTTGAAAGCAATTAAAGGCAGTAGGACAGTGGTTGCAGTCGATGCTTTATAGGGAGATATATATATATATATATATATATATATATATATATAAAGAGCAGAGATGGAACCTGGAAGAGCAAAATAGAGAAATAAATTATGAGCAGTTAATATTTTAAGAAAAGTTAGTGGAATTTTTTTTGATGGAGTGGATAAATATTTGGAGTGGGGATGATGGGTTCATACCTTGTAAGTTATACCAGATAAATTTGAGAAGTTTGAAGGAGTTGGGATTTAGATGGTAGAAATTTAAAGAGCTTATTTTTTCATGTGCATTGGATGGTTGTAAATCTAGTAAGAATAATGATACCTTTTAAATTTTAACATGTAACTACTATTCATGCTTATATATATAATATTAACAAGGGTGTAAAATAAAAAAATAATACAGGATATAAAACATAAGTTTTTTAAAAATAATTCACTAAATTTATGATATTTAATAACAAGGTTAAGTCAAAAAATATTTAATATTGGACTCATTTTGAAGGTATTGATAAGATGATTATAATGGTATAATTAGTAAAAAAAATGTATCTTTTAATGTATTGTAGTTCATATATAATTATTTATGTTAATATGATAAAATTATAGAATAAAATTTAAAAAGTAAATAATATAAAATAAATTAAATAACTAATTATAAAAGTACAATATGTCATATGCAATTTAAAAATTAAAAATAATTTGATTCTAATATTATCTTGGGAGCTATGGATTGTGGGTGTCGAAAGTTAGGTGACGTTTGTTTTTTAAGAGGTGCTGAAGTCCGAAGTCTGAATTCACTTCTGATTTTTAAGAGGTGATGCTGAAATCTGAAATCTGAATCAGTTAGACTGTTTGTTTTTTGCGTCTGAAATCTGAAGTTTGAAGATGAGAGATCGAGAGTTGATATGGATCGACAGTTGACAAAGTTGAGAGATGAGAGATTGAGACAGAAGAGTTGATCTAGATAAATCGAGCGTAAAGAGATCAGAGTAGGTAGGCGACAATTTGAAATAAGAGGTAATAAGAGGTTTCGCAACCACTTAAATTTTCAGACATAATAAGAGCTTTTAAGCTCTTAATTGGAAAAAAAAAAAAAAACACACTGAATCGTCTTATGTCTGACCGATTCAGACTTAAGAGGACATTAAGAGCTTTTTTATTAAAAACAAACAAACCCTTAGTTTTCATATAGCTTAAGAAACTTGCACACTATTCATAAACTCTTGTACTCTTGAAATTTCAAGATAACTACAATCTTGAAAGTTATTATAAGTTGTTCTAAAACTTGTATAAATATTATAGATAAAGGGTGTAAAATAAAAAAATGAAAAATGAAAAAATTAAAAATAAGTTTTAAAAAAATTCATTATGTATTTATATTAGTTAATAATATGATTATTCAATATCGGGATTATTTTGAAGGTAGATATTGATGAGACGATTATGATGATATATTTGTAAAAAAGAAACGTATTTTAATGTATTTTAGTTAATATATTGTTATGTATGTTAATATGATAAAGGTGTAAAAATGAAAGGAAAAAGAAAGGGATATAAAATAAATTAAATAGCTAATTAAAATGTTATAAAGTGTAACTTAAAAATAAAAAATAATCTTATTTTTAATTATCTTGTTGAGCCTGGGAGATTGTGAAACGTGTACATGATACATCAAGATTTGTATTCCTTAAAAATTCAGCAATAACTGTTTAGCATACTTTATAATATAGTAAAGATAATTAAAATAGATAAATGTGTAAAATAAAAATCTATGGATATAAAACAAATAATTCGTATATATTCATGATATTTAATAATATTATTAAATAAAAACGTATTCAATATTGGGCTCAATTTAAATATGTTAACGATACGATTATAATGGTATAATTTGTAAAAAAAGAAGCGTATTTTTTAAATGCACTTATTTCATATATGATTATTTATTTATTTGTGTTAATATGATAAGGGTGGTAGTAAATCAAATAACTAATTTTAAAGATATAAAATGCAATTTTGAAGTTGAAAATGATTTGGTGAAGAAACATGAGAGGTTAAGATTCCAAGTAATGGTGGGCTATAACCACAAAATATTTAATTTGAAGGGCTAAGATTTAGTATTAGATTTGATTTAAACGGTTAAGATTTAAACGACAGTTTTTTATCTTACTATTGATCAATATTATATATAATATGATAACTCAATATCTTTCCGAACAAATTTAAGACTATGATAAAAGTTGCTACTAGTTTTATAAGGATACCATAAATTTATTTCTTTTTATCCATATAAAAGAAGTTATTATAAGTTTAAGGACTTGATAAATATAAAAGGAATTCAATCATCTATATAGCAGATAATCGATTATTATATTAATGTTATTATCAAAGGAAAATTATAGAACTGGTATTGATGTGGTTTTACTTATTTATTATTATCCTAAGTTTTAAAATTAACTAAATTGAACGTCAGTTACATTCATCGTCTAAGACAATCATTCTCCCCTTCATTTTCTCTGATAATCTGAAATTCCTATTCCAAATCCCCAATCTATCAAGCAACTTACATTCTTCGTTTCATTCTCTAATGATATAAACATCTTTCAAACTCGGACTCCCTCCACCCCGTTACAATTGCATGACATATTCTGATTACACGACCTCCCACCGCCACCGAAGTTACTACTACTACTACGTTAAATCTTAAACCTTTCAAAATACAATCTTAGTACCAATTACCCTCGTCGTGTATGGACCACCTGATTGAAACTCTAACCTTTTTGTGGACTTTGATCTTGGTTTAATGATCCTTATTTTTGGTTTCTGCTATTGAGATAGAAGTCTCATATCGAGATAGATAGACATAGAGAGGTCTCAGTCTAGTTAGAGGTTGCATGCTCTAATCTCCATGTTAACCACCACCATAGCCTCCATCGTGCTCAAGTCTTCGTCAACCTTCGATAGTTCCTCGATCATCACTCTCACTAAACCATTTCCATCTATTCAAATCCATTATCAGCATTGAATGTTCATCACCGCCCTTTTCGTCCTCGATTTTTTTAATGTGAGTAGGTTTGGTCCATTTGGAGATGGGAGGGTCGTGAGAAGGGGAGAGAGAGAACGGGGGCGGTGATTGAGACTTCAGAAAAATAAGGAGAGGTCTTTTAGGGTTAAAAGAGAGGGAATGGTCTAAAAACACCTATTTAACCTCGTGTGCAAGTCACCTCGTGGGGTTTAACGAAAGCCTTGCAAACGATATTAGCAACAGACAAAATCCGAGCAAACATGCATACCACAATAGTAAAAATTTATTAAACATACCACATGGATCAAAAATGTATTTTACTTTTATTATTAAAAGTAACATCCCAGACCAATCGTACCAAATATTGTCCGTTTTGTCTGCACACTTGACACATGGTTTTAAAACACTTATTATAGATGAGGTATACAATCCCTTATAAGGAAACCTTAGTTCTCTTTACCAAGCATGTGGAATCTTATGATCCACCCTGTAACACCCGAAACTTTGTCATGTAACTATTTAGTTTTTAGTCAAGCCTTAATCAAGGTTACACTCGTTACTTAGATTCATATGTCTAGATTCTTTTTAATGGT